TAGCATTCGATTTGCCTCCAACTTCCTCAAATTTCACACAAGATGATATACCTCACCCACAAAGAGCCACACATTTCAATACTTATATCTGTCATAACTTGCGAAACAGGTCAGCGATTCTTTACAACTTGCTATATCTAAATATTTCTCTTAACAGAAACCTGAGATAAATATGGAATTGTTGATTTCGAACAAATTTTCGATTATATTGTAATTTTGTCCATACCAATATTTTTATACCCTCCACCTTGGAAAGGAGGGTATATTAACTTTGTCATTCCGTTTGTAACATCCCTAAATATTCGTTTTAGACCCCATAAAGTATATATATTCATAATCAGCATAAAATTCTAAGTCGATTTAACGATGTCCGTCTGTCTGTCTGTCTGTCTGTCCGTCTGTCTGTCTGTCTGTCTGTTGAAATCACCATACAGCCCACATTATTTGACGTAGAGCTCCAAAATTTAGCAGAGCTATTTGCATTGTGTCTAGGATGGTTGGTATTGAAAATGAGATATATCGGTCAACGTTCTGGTATAGCCCCCATATAAAGGTACCTCCCGATATTTAGTATTTTAGTTTTTTTACCACATTTTTTCACGGATTTGTCTGAAAATCGGTATTTGTTGGTCATAATGGGTTCCAGCTCCGGTGGCGAAACATTGTAATTATAGGTCCACGTTTTGGTATAGCCCCCATATAACGGTACCTCCCGATATTCGGTAATTTGATGATTTTTGCCACATTTTTTCAGGGATTTGTTCGAAAATTGGTATTTGTTGGTCATAATTGGTTCCAGCTTCGGTGGCGAAACATTGCATGCATGGGTCCATGATTTGATATAGCCCCCATATAACGGTACCTCCCGATATTCTGTATTTTGATGGTTTTTGCCACATTTTTTCACTGATTTGTCTAAAAATTGGTATTTGTGGGTCATAATGGGTACCAGCTCCGGTGGCGAAACATTGTAATTATAGGTCCACGTTTTGGTATAGCCCCCATATAACGGTACCTCCCCATAATCGGCATTTCAATGGTTTTTGCCACATTTCTTCTAATGTTTCTTTTACCCTAAGGTGGAGGGTATTAAAAGTTTGGCCCGGCCGAACTTAATGTTTTTTTACTTGTTATCTCTATTAGATGAAGTATGAAAGAAAAACACTTCGGTCGATATCTGAAACCTCACGCACATTTTAACAATTTCTAAAATATATCACATATAATATTTCTATCATTTTTATTTAGGTCCGATACGAAATGGACAATATTGGCTTATTTCTTCGAAACCTTCTCCATAGAGGATCAACAATTTAAATAACTATAACAGAAGCCAAAATATATTTTAATTATCGAATACTGGTTGAGGATATATTTGTTAACTTGTTTCATATTTCTATTAATTTACTTCTAGTTCTCTAATTGAATTATAAATTCATCGATTCAGTCCAGACATTTTAAATGACTATATTATTTATTTTTAAATTGAACTGTTATCGACAAAATTAATGGTTAAGCTATATTTTTCTAAAGTTTGCCACATTTTGATATCTGTCTTATTTTAGCCACAGCTGCTTAACGAATGAATGAAATTTGTTGTGTCAGTTGAAGATCAGCACAAAATATATGGGCCTCCCAAGTTGTTTCATATTCTAAAAACAAAAAAGAAAAATAAATATTTATTTACGATGTTGCTTCTGTTTGCGGTTATAGTGTTCGGGGAATAATTTTCATAATTTATATGCCATCATAAATATCGGAAATAATATTTAGCAGAAACTAGTTTTTATTTAAATTCTTGACAGTGGATACTATTTCAAGTAAACACACAGTTTTGCACAAAATGGTTCAGTTCAAAAAAAAAAAAAAAAATAAATAAATAAATAAATAAAAAATAATAATAATAATAAATAAATAAAAAAAATAAAATAAAAAATAAATAAACAATAATAATAAATAATAATAAATAAATAAATTAATTAATTAATTAAATAAAAATTTAAAATAATAAAATATATTAATGAAACTGTAAGGAAAGGACAAGAGTCGAGTATATGTTACCCTACACCACTATGCATACATAAAACCCTAAATCGGATGAAACATATATATGGGAGCTATAGTTATATGTAAACCGATGTTCACCAAAAATTTAAGTACATGCTTCTGGACTGAATTCTGCAGGAAATGCTAAAATTGTGTCCATATAGCTATTTGGTCCACAAAAAAACTGAAATTTTATAAAGATATATATGGGAGCAATATCAAAATCTTTTTTTAGAAAAAGGGGAAAAAGGGGGCAATATAAAAACGTGAACCTATACATATAATGTTACCCACCCACGAGCTGGAATCTATTATAACCTACAAAAACCAATTTTTAGACAAATCCATTGAAAATGTGGCAAAATACCGAATATGGGGAGATACCGTTATAGGGGGACTATACCAAAACGTGGACCGATATATCTCATTTTCATTACCCACCGTCCTAGACACAATACACATCATGCGGGCCGTATCGTAATTTCAACAGAGTTAAATTGACTTAGAATTGTATGCTGATTATGAATGTATATACTTTATGGGGTCTACGACGAATATTTAGGGACGTTAAAAACAGAATGACAAAGTTAATATACCCTCCTTTCCAAGGTGGAGGGTATAAAAATGTTAACCACTTATTTCTGAGCTGTGTCTATCTGGTACTAGATATCATTCTTGTACTAGATATCAATTTGAGCTGATATTACATATATGGTGAGCAATAACCGTACAATCGGATGATGATGTATATCGAAACTATATAAAATCTGAACCGATCTCCATAAAATTTGGCAAAGGTATTTCGAGCAGTATCTGATGACCGGTATCAAAGATATTGTTGTGCAGTGAATGATACACATGTGAGGGACTTAAAACCACAAATCGGGTGAAACATATACATGGGAGCTATAGCTATATCTAGACCGATTAGATATATCGGTCCACGTTCTGATATAGTCCCCATATAACGGTACCTTTCGATATTCGGTAATTTGATGATTTTTGCCACATTTTTTCACGGATTTGTCTAAAAATTGGTATTTGTTGGTCATAATGGGTTCCAGCTCCGGTAGCGAAACATTGCATGAATGGGTCCACGATTTGGTATAGCCCCCATATAACGGTACCTCCCGATATTCGGCATTTTGATGGCACCTCATGATGACGGTACCTCATAATATTCGGTATTTTGATGATTTTTGACACATTTTTCACGAATTTCTCCGATAATTGGTAGTTGTAGATCATAATGGGTCCCAGTTCGTGTGACGAGTCACTGTAATTATAGGTCCACGTTTTGGTATAGCCCCCATATAACGGTACCTCCCGATATTCGGTAATTTGATGATTTTTGCCACATTTTTTCACGTATTTGTAGGTCATAATGGGTTCTAGCTCCGTTGGCAAAACATTGCATGTGTGGGTCCACGATTTGGTATAGCCCCCATATAATGATACCTCCCGATATTCGGCATTTTAATTGTTTTTGCCACATTTCTTTTAATGTTTCCTTTACCCTAAGGTGGAGGGTATTAGAAGTTTGGCCCGGCCGAACTTAATGTTTTTTACTTGTTTTTAGGATGAATTTAGTCGGAATCAAAATTCAGTCCATTTGGACAGTTATTGGCCAATTGGTGCACAAATAACCCGAAATCGGTTGAAGATATATATATGAGAGCTACATACTAATCTGATCCGATCTCGATAAAATTTGACAGAGGTATTTCTGAGCTTTAACTGATATCTGTAACTATATATTATTCTTGTGGAGTGCATATTACGCATTTGAAGAACTTTAACGCCAAATCGGATGAAACATATGTATGGGGGCTATAGCTACATCCGAACAGATTTTCCCCAAACTTAAAGTACTTGCTTCTAGGCTGAATTCCGTCGGATGTGCCAAAATTCAGTCTTCTTGGGAGCTATACCCTAATTTGACCCGATCTCGATAAAATTTGACAGAGGAATTCTTGAGCAGTATCGGTACCAAATATCTTTTTTGTAGAATGCATATTACGCATGGGAGGGACTTAAAATACCAAATCGGATGAAAGATATATACGGGAGCTATAGCTATATTTTGACCGATTTTAACCAAAATTTGAAACTTGAAAACAAAAATTGAAAATTTGAAATTTGTTTTTGAAGCACAGTTCAATTGGAACTGCCAAAATTCAGTCTATTTGGAAATATATTAGCCATTTGGTGCACAATAAAGCAGATATCGGGTAAAGATATATGGGAGCTATATTTTAAAATTTTAAAAACCTATCTCTAAACTGTATCTGATATCTGCTACCGAAGATTACTGTTGTGTAGCGCATATTACGTATGTGAGGGACTTTAAACCCCAAATCTAAACCGATTTTCACCAAAATTGATGTACTTGCTTCTGGGCGGAATTTGGTGGGATGTGCTAAAAATCAGGTCACTTGAACTGATATTGGCTATTTGGTGCACAATTATCCCGAAATCAGTTAATGATATATGGGAGCTATATATATATTTCAATCGATTCTCTCCAATTTCAATAGGGTTCGTTCTTGGGACAATCACATTGTGTTTGCATTGATAATATCGAATAATAAAGGCGACCTGCATTTTGTTCACAAAAATACGGACATGAACAGACGGACGCACAGAGAGATGGACTGATATGCATAAATCGACTCAGAAAGTGTATGAAGATCCTCAAAAGTAATTATGGGTCGATCTCGCTTTCTTCTCCATGTTACAAACAAATGCACAAAAACATAATACCCTTACCTCTATGTGATGTAGAGTATAAAAATGACCACTTGAGAGGTTTTACTGTACTTGTTTTACTACTTAAAACACATTCTGTCACATCTTGACACATCTCAATCGAGCACCCTCTTGGGGTGTATTGAACCTTTTTGTGAAGGTCGTATCAGTTATACCACTGATGATGAGTACTTCAATTGGTGGATATATAAATCAATTGCCCATGTTTGGCTAGTCTACTGTAGAATTGCTTATTGAGAGGCCAAGATGAAATTCTTATCGCTCGTTTTGGTGTTTTGTTTGCTTAGCGTTGTTGGCACGTTTGCCAAGAGTTTGGAATCGTTCTATGGCATGACAGGTAATAAAATCGGAATTTGAATTTTTAATTCGAAAATATTTTTTAATTATGTAAAAGGTGATTTGAAACAAAAAAAAGTACAATAAAATTAGATCAAATTAAGAATTACATGTTGATCCCTTGACTTTATAACATGTGTTCTGATTCGACTAAATTCCAATTATTCAGAGAAGAGACAACGACCTCAGTCTCGCAGAAAACTCATGTTTAATTCAATTATAATTTTTTGTTATTTTTTTAGAGCATCCCGGCAAATGTGTCTATGAAGATTTAATTATTGCGCCCGGTGAAACGGCCAAGCCAAAGGGGAAATGCCAACGCTTTTCGTGTGGAGAGGAGCTGGTGGGTCACATTCAAAGGTATGTCCGAATTTCATAATTATTATTTAAATTATTAATTATTAAATTGTTTTATTTTTTATAGTTGCGATTACAGATACATTATTCTAGAGCCACCATGCTGGTGGGGTGATATAGAAAATCCGGATTTGGATTATCCCAGTTGTTGTATGAGAAAAATTATTTGCCCAGAGACTGATGATACGACCGATGTGTATTTCTGAAATAATTTTAGTTTAAATTTAATAAATGCTGTGATAAATGAAGGTAATATAGTTTGGTCCTGCTCCTGATACTGTGCAAGAGTGATTTCTGCAAAAATGTGCCCAATTTTTTTTTAGAGAAAACGTGTTTTAAACGTTTGACTGGCATATACTACAGGGTGAGATTAAAAAAAAAACAGCAACAAAGTCAAACGCCATAATTTTTACATTTTTTTTTTAATTTTATTGAATGAAAGCAAGAAATGTCGGAAATAGCATCAAATTTAAGAATAAGTTTAGATTTGTTCGAATTGGTCACATTTGGCACGAATTGTGGCCTTCAAATGGCCAATGAAACCATCACACGCTGTCCGAATGTTGCTCTGCGGCATTTTTGCTCATTCACGGCGAAGCGCTTGCTGGAGGTGATCGACTTTTTGATATTTTTTAGTGCCAACCGTGCTTTCCAAAATACTCCAGACACAATAGTCCAACAGATTGGTATCCGGAGATTTTGGTGGCCATTGTGGTGGCTGGAAATGAAGCGAGGAACCTCATTTTGTAATCAATCTTGGCGTGCTGAGTGAGATGGTGCTGAGTCCTGTTGGAAAGTTCAAGTCCGCGGCCAAAATGTTTGCGTGCCCAAGGCTTTAATAAACCCTCCACAATATTTTCGCGATAATATTCGACATTTATTCTGATGCCACGGTCGATTAATACGAGCGGAGATCGACCATCGGCTGTTATGGCTGCCCACACCATCACCATGGCTTGCGCTTGAGTTCTGGTGGCCAACCGAAGGGGCACATTTACAGCTCTTTGGCAAGTAAAGACGATCATTTTGTTTGTTTACAACAACGAATGTTTTCTTATCGGAGAAAACCAAATTCGGCAGTTCACCACTTACGGCCAAGCGAAACAACTTTTTAGCCCTTTTGAATCTATTTTCTCTCAGTTGCGGTGTAAGTTCTTGCACTTTTTGGAATTTCAATGGCTTTAACCCGAGCTATTTTTTCAATATTTTGCCGAATGGAATATTGCGATATGTACAGCTCACGAGTCATTTTTCAGCCACTGCGACGCGGGTTACGATCAAGTCGCTTCTTTGCTTTTCGAACGATTTTTGCTGATGTTGCTGTTTTCTTCTGTCCACTTCCTTGACGTCGGGATACGCTATTAGTATCACGTTAACGATCAATGGCACGAGACACAAAAGATTTCATATTTAAATGCTGAAGTGCTCTAACAATAGTTACTTGAGGTTTTCCAGACAAATATAAAGAAATCACACTATCACGCTTGAACTCCATCACGAATAACTTTTTCTCTGGAAAATTCTCACCAAAATGCTATTGTACTCTTATAAACAATATAATGAGCTGTCACTGGAATAATTTTAACAGCTGTCGGACGATTGGCTTAGAAATGACAGCAGTCTGAAGTTGGTTGCAGTTTTTTCACCTCACCCTGTATTTATGGCCTACTCCACATAGGGATCAGGGTATTATGTCTTTGTGTACATATTACAATATTTGTTTGGCCTAAGGACAAACCCTCTTGAAATTGGTGAGAATCGGTTCAAATTTAGATATATCTCCCATATATATCTTCAACCGATTTCGGGTTAATTGTGCACCAAAGTCCAAATGAGCTGAATTTTGGCACATCCGACCAAATATAGTCTAGAAGCAAGTACATTAAAATTTGGTGAAAATCGGTTCAGATATAACTATAGCTCCCATATATGTTTCATCGGATTTGGATCGGAGTTTAAATCCCTCACATGCGTAATATGCACCCCAGAAGAATGATATTTGGTACCAGATAGCTTATGGAGCTCAAAAATACATATGTCAAATTTTATCGATATCGGATCAGATTAGGATAAAGCTTCCATATATATATTTATCCGAGATCAGATTTATTGTTCACAAAATGACTAATTTCAACTTAAATGGACTGAATTTTGGCAATTCGGACTGAATTCATCCTAGATACAAGTACTTCAAACCTGGAAAAATTCGGTTCGATTCATCCGTTTTGGTGTTAAAATCCCTTACATGCGCAAAATTCACTCTACACCAATAATATTGGAAACAAGACACAGCTTAGAAATAATTGCTTAAAATGTTGTCAAGATCGGTTCAGATTTGGGTATAGCTCCCATACATATCTGTATCCGATTTCAGGTTGTTTGTGTACCAAATGGATGATATCAGCTCAAATAGAAAGAGTTTTGATGAATAATTCGAATTCAAAAACAATCATATTTGGTATGTATTAATCTGTATTATAACGCAAAGTAGTGTAGGGTATCATAAAGTCGGCCCAGCTCGATTTTGACTTTTCTGGTTATACCCTCAGCCATATGGTATATAGAGGGTATATATTATTTAATAGGACGAAAGGTGCCTCATCGAAATAAGGTTTCTAGACCCTATGACTCTTTTCACCAAACCCGTTTCAAGATATTTAGCGTCGATCTAGCTATGTCCGACCGTCTCTTTATCTGTCTGTCTGGCTGGTGCGTGTCATAAACCTCTAAGGGAGTATCCGATTGGGTCAAAACTTGGTACATCGTAATATTATTATCAAACTTAAATCGAGTTCGGAGATGGGCAATGTCGGTCCACTCCTTCTGGTACCTCCTCCACAAAAATTAGAAATTCTCAAAAAAAAAAAAAAAACGTTTTTCTGGTAAAAAAATAAAAATAATCCGATATTGCTCTAACGTTGCAACTCCTAATATTGGACAATAATGGTCCACTCCATTAAGTACCAAGGTAAACATTTTTAATATCCCTGAAGCTCATAAAACGCGGAATTACCATCCGATTCCATTCAGACTAGGTACATCTCGAAATTTTTATACACACAACATCTGTTATATAGATGGTGGAGATCGGACCATTCCTTCTGGTATCTCCCACACATAGAGTCGAAGTTTTGAATAACCGAAACTATTATAAATCGGAAATAAGCCTCCGGTTCTCTTCCCATTGCACACATTACAATATTTTTATTGACCCAAAGTCTGGCGAGAAAATGGGATATATCGGTTCACTATTTCTGGTACCTCCCTCACAAAGGGTCAACATTTTGAATACAATGAAGCTCATAAAACGCAAAATTAAAATCCGATTCCATTCGGACTTGGCACATCTCAATAGTTATATCAACCCAAGATATGTTATAAAGATGCTAGAGATCGGAACATTCCTTCTGGCACCTCCCCACAAAGGATCAACATTTTGTGGGATTTACCAAAAGGAGTGGACCGATATATTCCATTTTCCCACCTTGGAATACCCAATATTGGGGACACCATTGTGTGGGGGCCATTGGATATCGTGGATAGACCATCTTCGAACTTGACCTGCCTGCACACAAAAGACTGATCTGTGCAAAATTTTAACTTCCTATGTTAATTCGTTTTGACTCCAGGGTGATTACAACAGACGGAAGGAAGGGACAAATCGTCTTAGAATTTTACTCTGATCAAGAATATATATACTTTGTTGGGTCTAAAACTATTGTTTCGATGAGTTACAAACGGAATGACGAACTTTATATACCCTGGTGGAGGGTATACAAATGTTACTGCTTGCTGAAACGAAAAATAAATTGAACGATTTGAAATTAATAACACAGCATTAAACATTTTATCAGTTATTCATCCCTGCACTTTCTTAGCGAATTGGATCTTCCAGAGCGAACTGGGCAATGATGAAATGCTATGACAAAACAATATTTTTCTAGATTCCGAATTTTCGGTCAAAAATTTAATGTTTTTTGTAGACATCTGTTCTTTTTCAAATTCTTATTAAATTTGTCTATTTCTTTTTTGGTGTAGTTTTTGTTGTCATTCTATCTATGATTCTTAGTCGCAGCGACCTTTTTATGAATAGATTAATACAAGTTTATCATAACTTGTTCTTTGAAATAAAATTTCGTAAAAAAAAAACAAGACGAACATTTGCTGATAACATTGGACTATCAAATGCACGGCTTAAAAATATATAAAACGGCTTGTGCTCTCTTACGATTTGTCAGTTTCAATTCATTTCTCCGCCATCGTTTGACTGCATCAAAATGAAAGTTTTAGTTATCGCTTTAGTGCTTGCCTTCTGTACCACGGCATTTTCATATGAAATGTCTGGATTTTTCAAAGAAGATGGTAAGGATAAGGACAAGCAAATTTAGTATATTAATTTAAAAAAAAAAAAAATAATTTGCTGCTAATTTCAGCTCATCCTGGCAAGTGTGTCTACAAGGATTTGATCTTATCGGCCGGTGAAGAGGGATATCCCAAGAGTGAATGCGTTCGCCTTTTGTGTGGTGACAATAGTTTTGGCACAATTCAGGGGTAAGTTTTGTGAGAATGTTTTAGAAAAACTGGCAGGGATTATTATTTTTATGCAATACTTCATTCGATATTATCAAATACTGCATTGATAATACTTTTTATACCCTACACTCCATAGCGGTAAGGGTATTGAAACATGGAGAGGGAAGCGAGATAGACCCATAGTTACTTTTCAGGATCTTCATAGAATCACTTTCTGAGTTGATTTATGAATTTCAGTCCGTCCGTCTGTCCATGTATTTTTGTGAACAAAATGCAGGTCGCATATAATAATCGATTGAGATGAAATTTTTCAGACAATATTTGTTTGGCCCAGGGAAGATCTGTATCTATATACAGGGTGAAAATTCAAACGCCATAATTTTTACATTTTTTATTTAATTTTATTGAATGAAAGCAAGAAAAGTCGGAAATAGCACCAAATTTTAGAATAAGTTTAGATTTGTTCGAATTGGTTACCTTTGGCACGAATTATAGCCTTCAAACTGCCAATGAAACAATCACACGCTGCCGAATTTTGTTTTGGTATATTTTGACCCATTCCCGGTGAAGCACTTTGGTATATTTTAGTGCCAACATTTCTTTCCAAAATACTCCAGACACAATAGTACAACGGCCTGGTATCCAGAGATTTTGGTGGCCATTTTGCGCTGGAAATAAAGCGGGGAACCTCATTTTGTAAACATTCTTGGGTGGCGCGTGCTGAGTGCGATGCTGCAGAGTCCTGTTGGAATGTACAAGGTCTGCGGCCAAAATGTTTGCGTGCCCAAGGCTTTAATACGCCCTCCAGAATATTTTCTCGATAATATTCGGCATTTTTTCTGATGCCACGGTCGAATAATACGAGCGGAGAGCGACCATCGGCTGTTATGGCGGTCCACATTATCACCATGGCCGGCGCTTGAGTTCTGGTGGCTAAAAACTGCTGGACAACGAATGTTTTCTCATCGAAGAAAACCAAATTCGGCAGTTCACCACTTTCGGCGAAGCGAAACAACTCTTTAGCTCTTTTGAGTCTATTTTCTTTCTGTTGCGGTGCAAGTTCTTGCATTTTTTGAAATTTCAATGGCATTACCACGAGCTCATATTTCAGTATTTGCCGAATGAAATATTGCGATATATTCAGCTCACGAGCTATTTTTCGGCCACTGCCACGCGGGTTCGATCAAGTCGTTTCTTTACTTTTCGGACGATTTCTGCTGATGTTGCTGTTTTCTTCCGTCCACGTCCTTGACGTCGGACTACGCTACCAGTATCACAGTAACGAGCGATGGTACGAGCAGGAAAAGATTTATTCACATTTAAATGCTGGAGTGCTCTAGCGATAGCCACTTGTGGTTTTCCAGCAGAATATAAAGAAATCACACTATCACGCTTGAATTCCATCATGGATAATTTTTTTTCTGGAAGATTCTCACCAAAATCCTTTTATACGCTTGGAAACAATATAGTGAGCTGTCGGACGAATGACTTAGAAATGTCAGCAGCCTGAAGATTGTTGCAGTTTTTTCATCCCTTAATTTGATGTGATGTAGGCAATGTTATTTGGTTCGTAGTTGGTATCATCTACTTCACATTAAATTCCCAATATAAACTTTTTTGTTACTCGTTGTGGTGTAGAGTATCATATAGTCGGCCCCGCCTGACTTTTGACTTCTTTCTACTGGTTTTTGATTTATTGATTTGATATTGAAATTGAATATTTCTTTTCATTATGCAATTGTTTTATTTTTGTATTTTCAGTTGCGGTACTCAAGCGGCTGCCCCTCCTTGTAAATTGGGTGACTATGTGAATCGCGATGGCAAATATCCCGAATGTTGTAAACGCCACGTTGTATGCCCCTAATTTTGTAAACTGTCGATCGTAGAAAATAAACAATTAGAAAAATTTAAATATGTGTATGTATTTCGACCACAATCCAAAACTGTAGTTTTCAAATCCGAACTGATGGAAAAAAACGGGTTTTTTGAGGGACGTTGGTGTAAATTGCACTCTGAGGTATTGAACAAGTAAAAAAATATTATGTTCGACCGGAGCGAAATTTCAATACTACCCCATATGCAGTTAAATTTATCAATAAACCATAAAATGAGTGAGGTGGTTCCCATACCAAAATGGGAACCTCTATAGGCAATTTTATACTACAAGGCTTGTAATCTATCAAATCTTCTAAAATACCAAATTTGAAACAATTATGTGGGTAAATGTGACCAGGATTATCAAAATACCGAATATCGGTGGGTATAGTTAGATGTGCACTTTAGAAAAACGTGGAAATAAATATTCTATGTTTTTCCACCGGGCAGGGAACCCATTATGAACTGCAAATACCAATTTTTAACAAACACCAATTTGGAGATGAACTTGCGAAAAAAAATGTGTCAAAAATCATCAAAATACCGAATATCGGTGGAGGGTATACAAAAAAAAACCAAGGTGGAGGGTATAAAAAACTTCGTAAAGTTGAGCAAAACAGAGATGACACGTGTGTGTAGGTACCCTTATATGGGGTCTATACCAAAACGTGGACCCATACAAACAATGTTTTGCCACCGGATCAAGAACCCATCATAACCAAGAAAAACCAATTTTTAGCAAATCCTTGAAAGTATCGGGGCTACACCAAAACGTATATACAATTTTTCGCCACACGAGCTAGAGCCCATTATGACCTACAAATACCAATATTTAGACTAATCCGTGGAAAATGTGGCAAAAATCATCAATATACCGAATATCGGGAGGATACCTTTTCAAGGTGGAGAGTATAAAAAACTCAGTAAAGTTGACCAAAAAAAGAGAAGACACGTGTGTAGGTGTTTTGAAAGTTAACCTCGCATAATAACCTAAATGGAGGGGAATAGTTCTTCACTCTTCCATTTTTTTACCCTCCACCATACTAGGGAGGGTATATTAACTTTGTCATTCCGTTTGTAACTCCTCGAAATACTCATGTCAGACCCAACAAAGTATATATTTTCTTGATCAGCGTAGACTTCTTAGTCGATTTAGCGATGTCTCTCTGTCCGTCTGTCTGTCTGTCCGCCTGTCTGTTATAATCACGCTATCTTTCGAACAAATTGAGATAGAAGGCTAACATTTTGCACACATGTCTATTTTTTAAGTAGGCATGTTAAGTTCGTAAATGGGCCATGTAGGTCCACGTTTTCATATAGCCCCATATAACGGTACCTCCCGATATTCGGTACTTTGATGATTTTAGCGACATTGTTCACTGGAATTGTTACAAATTTGGTATTTGAAGTTCGAAATGGATACTACAGCTTAAGACAGAAAATGATCTGTGCAGGTCCACGTCTTCGTATAGCCCCCATATAACGGTACCTCCCTATAATCCGTGTTTTGATGATTTTAGCGAAATTATTTACCGGAATTGTTTCAAATTTGGTATTTGAAGTTCGAAATGTATACCACAGCCTATGGCAGAAAACTGTTTGTGCAGGTCCACGTCTTTGTATAGCCCCCAGATAACGGTATTTACCAATATTCGGTATTTTAATGATTTTAGCGGCATTATTCACCGGAATTGTTTCAAATTACGTATTTAGAGTCGCATTGGGAACTACAGTCTGTGACAGAAAATTGTCTATGTAGGTCCATGTCTTCGTATAGGCCCCATATATCAGTACCTCCCTATATTCGGTATTTTGACGAGTTTAGGTACAATACCCACCGAAATTGTTTGAGATGTCGTATTTGTAGTTCGTAATGGATGCTATAGCCTGTGACAGAAAATTGTCTATGTAGGTCCAGGTCTTCGTATAGGCCCCATATATCAGTACCTGCCTATATTCGGTATTTTGACGAGTTTAGGTACAATACCCACCGAAATTGTTTGAAATGTCGTATTTGAAGTTCGTAATGGATGCTATAGTCTGTGACAGAAAATTGTCTATGCTGGTCCAGGTCTTCGCACAGATCCGATATAACGGTACCTCCGTTTGTACGATATTTTGATGATTTTAGCTACATTATTCACCATTTATTTCAAGTTTCGAGTTTGAATATGATAATGGCTTATGACAAACACGTCGTATAGACCCCAAAATAACGGCTATAATAGGTATTTCTAAAATTTTAACAGAATTAAAACCCTTAAAAAATTTTTCGAAAAGTTCCAAATTCGTTCCATAGCGTAGAGGGTATTCGAAGTTCGGCCCGGCCGAACTTACTGCTTTTTAATTTGTTTTGTTTTTTTTTTTTTGAGTTTTTGTATTAAGATTCCTTGGAAACCTTGAATTTTAGGTATTAAATACAAGTTTTTAACAAAACCTACTAGAAATTGTTTCTAAAACCCTTTTAAAAAACTAAAATCAGTGGCTATCTTTATAAAAAGGCTGTAGAAAACATGAAAAAATGTTGACTTTTTTGCTAGCAGCGAAGTAAAAATACTAAAATGTAAAATAAAAGTTTTGTCGGAGTTTACCCTTACAAAAAAAAAAAATTGGACTGACATAATCCATTTTTAAAATAAATGAGTAATTCAAAGCACTCTATAAATTTGGAATCCCTTTGTATATGGTCAAGTCCATATAAAGGCCTTAAACAATGAACCCGAAACTTATTTTTGGGTTTTGATCTATAACTCAGAGGGCCTATTGATATGAAAAGTTGCAGTGAATTCAAAATAAGATCTTAGTTTGTCGAAAAAAAAAAAGGTTTTTATACCCTTGTAGGGTATAATGTGTTGGGGGTATTATAAGTCTGATTGGGCCAATAATTATGTAACACCTCGAAATATTGGTTTTCCACATAGGAAAGTATATGTGGATCTTCCTATCTCACCGAGCTGAGACGATCTAGCTATGTATGTCTGTCCGTTCGTCCGTCTGTCCATGTTAATTTGTAATCACTGGAGATTGGGTTAGGGTCAGAATAGAACCCTATTGTTTTTGGAGATGATTGCATAATATTTAGGGGTTGAAAATTTTCCTGATTTTGCAGTTGCTCTGTAGGCCATAATTATGAACCAATCGACGCGGAAATTTACATGGAGTTAGAACTTAGGACTGGGCTCAAGCTCACCAATTTGGGCGCCCATCGGACAAAACCGCGAGTATTGTAACCCTAGCCAAATCACAATACATTAAAAGGTCACTCCTGCGCATCAAAGTGATGCTGATAGCCAACAAATCGGTTATATAGTAAAATAGGAATAATATAAAAGAAATATATCTTATAAGCGGAATAAATAAGTCAAGAACCGCTGATTCACATCAATTCGAAATGGTCTCTGGCCAGAAAAGGATAAAATCTAAGAAAATCGCTTAAAAATATACCAATAAATGAGTGAATATCTTTTTTTTTTCAATTTTTTAAATTTTTCTCATATCTTTTGTCGCATGCGATTTTTTTTAAATTTGACAAACAATTTTGAATTGAAAATTTTCTAAATTTTTACACCCCTCCACACTACGCTTTGAGGGTATTATATGCATGCCGCAATTATCGTCCGATCCTCACGAAATCGCATAAGGTAGCGTTAGGGTCAACATTAAAGCCTATTGTTTTTAAGATGTACATTTGGGGTTTCAAATGGACTAAAAAAATTTAAAATTTTCTAATTTTGTATTCGTTTTATAGGCCACTAATCGACACGGAATTTCGCATCAGAAGAGAGTTAAGGACAGGGAAGAAGTCTAGCATTTTGGATGACTATTGGATTATATATAACTATAAAATGGACCACAACTTTCGTGTGACATGTCGTCTTGAATACAACAAATATTGGCCAAATTCTCCGGGTCAAAAACCTAAGGGTAACATCAGGGCTCTTTAACATTATTTCAAAAACGAAATCTTCCAAAATGAATTTGGATATAAGAAGACTTCAAACATATCGTAGTGTTGTAGGGTATCACATGGTCGGCCCCGCACGACTATAGCCTTTGCTTACTTGTTTTATCTCAACCTGTATGGACATATCCATGTGGCTTAGAATTCATCTACAATTTTGATGATTTTTGAATAATTTTAATCGGCAGCAATGGTATATTACTTTTAAAATTAAATAATTTCCATTCAACCGTAATATGTTAGTTGCTGACTAAATCACATTAACATATAAAAATTCACCTCTGACCTTTACATTGATATCGCATATATATATAAAATAAAATGTTGGAAAATTCTTTGGCATTGAATTTATGGCCTCGCCGAACCATAGCATTTCCGAGCTTCTAAGGGTTACATATGTTTATAATACAGCCTTGGGAAACATTTTATTATATTTCAGTACATCTAATTTGTAGGTTTCTTATTTACTGTAGGGTATAATAAGTTTGTCACCGTCGAACCACTCATCGGCTACACTTGCTTAATAATCTCACTTGTTCCATTTTATTTGGCCTTTGTGGCCAATCATAAATTTGTTAATCGGAGATAATGAAGAAAATGTTTAGCAAATAAATAAATTTTGGTTTCAAATATTGAATAGTTGAGTTCTAGTAGCATTTTACGTTCAAACATGAAATTATTCGGTTTGGTTGTGGTTATTTCGATTTTATGCGGCAGTTTTGCTGCTGTCATGGTTGCCAAGATGGGAGATCCGGGTAGAAATATTTGCAATTATAATTAGTAAAATAATGATAATAAATTGTATATTAATTTTTTAGAACACCCTGGCAAATGTGTTTATAACGGTTTGATTTTGTCACCCGGCGAAAGTGGTTATCCCGAGGGCAGATGTCTTCGTGTCTTGTGCTTTGGTGCTGATGGTAGCGGCAGAATACATACGTAAGAAATATTAAAAATTGCTTGTATTTTTATAGTTCTTAATAAAAAATCATATTTTAGTTGTGGATCGCAAGGAGCACAGCCACCCTGTGTTATGGGTGATTACATGTACCCCGATGCTCAGTATCCCAAGTGCTGTGAAAAGGAAATCATTTGTCCCGATAATGTAGACGAACATGAAAATAAATTATTTTAAATTACCAAAAATTGGAAACGAGAAATGGCATGATCTGGATTTTCTTTTATATTCTGAACGAACTTGATTTGAGATCCGCAAACTTGAAAATGGAAATAAATTAAAGAAAGCTTATTTTTTTACAAAATTAGATGACAGTATCAATCGGTTTTGCTGACAGATGTATGGCCTCTCAAATGTCCATTTTTATACCCTCCACCATTCTATGGAAGGTATATTAACTTTGTCATTCCGTTTGTAACTCCTCGAAATACTCATGCCAGACCCAACAAAGTATATATATTCTGTCTGTTGTAATCACGCTATCTTTCGAACAAATTGAGATAGAAGGCTAAAATTATGCACACATGTTTATTTTGCCAGTAGGCAAGTTGAGTTCGTAAATGGTTCGACGTTTTCATATAGCCCCCATATAACGGTAGCTCCCTATATTCGGTATTTTGATGATTTTAGCGACCTTGTTAACCGGAAATGTTCAAATTTTGTATTTGAAGTTCGTAATGGATACTATATCTTATGACAGAAAATTGTATATGCAGGTCCAGGTCTTCGTATAGCTCCGATATAACGGTACCTCCCTATATACGGTATTTTGAAGATGCTACATTATACCCGTTTATAACCTGGTAATGGCTTATAACAAATAATGCCTATGTAGGTCCACGTCGTACTGACCCCAATATAACGGCTATATTCGGTATTTTTAATATTTTAACAGAATTTTTAACGGATTTTATTTTTTGAAATTTCCAAATTCCAAATGATGAATGATATTCAAAGTTCGGCCCGGCCGAACTTGCTGCTTTTTAACTTTTTTTAAATTTATTTTGAGGGGTGGTTGCGAATGAGTGGGACAATAAAAATATTACAAAGTATCAGATTTGGACTATCGACTACTTCGATGGTATCTTTGGAAATGTGTCCTTTATTTGTACGAAGGGAAGGGTTTTAATTCTCAAATTTGGTATTGAGGTCTCTGTTGATATCTGAGATATGAAGTTGGTTTAGGAAGTGCGTATCATAACTATACGAAAAGTACTAAATGTTGTAATTAGTGAACGTGTAGGGCTGGAATCCCAAAATTTCATATTGAGGTCACTGTAGATATATGATTATAAGATGTAAAGTTGGTTTTGCAAACACGTGCTATATTTTTGTAAGAAAAATACTTAATGGTACTAAATTTGGTATTGGGTGAAGAAATAGTTCAAGAATCCTGAAAATTGATGTCACTGTTGGTATCTGTCATTGAGATATGTACTATAATTGTTCGAAAAATCGTACTAAATTTGGTATTGGGTGAAGGGACAGTACTGGAATTTAGATATTGATATCTCTGTTTGTATCTGAAATTGAGATATAGAAGTGATTTTGAAAATGTGTATTCCGTTAAAAATTATGTTAAAATTTTAAAAATATCAAATGTTGCCGTTATATTAGGGTCTAAACGACGACGTTTAAAATATTCAAATGCGGAACTTTAAAAAAAATAGGCGAATAATGTAGCTAAAATCATCAATATAGTGAGGTACTATTATATGGTAGCTATACCAAAATGTAGAACTGCACAGACAATTTTCTGCCTTAGGCTGCAGTATCCATTACGAACTTCAAATAGCAAATTTGAAACAATTCCGGTGAATAATGTCGCTAAAATAATCAAAATACCGAATAGAGGAAGGTACCGTTATATAGGGGCTATACGAAGGCGTGGACCAACATGGCCCATTTTCTGTCTTAAGCCGTAGTATCTATTACAAACTTTAAATATTAATTTTGAAACAATTCCGGTAAATAATGTCGCTAAAATCATCAAAATACCGAATATCGGGAGATACCGTTATATGGGGGCTATACGAAGACGTGGACCTGCACAGACAATTTTCTATCTTAGAGTAAGAGGATTTTTTAAAGACCATATTTAAGATTTTCCGGCCATATACTTTGTTTCAAGAAGATCCTGGTAAAAATATCGTATTTGTTTGTTTGAATCGTGGAATTGGTATTTTTTCAAGAAGTTCCTGTCAAAAAAAAAAAAAATAAAAAATAAAAAAATAAATAATAAATAAATAGATAAATTATTTTTTTATATTAAAAATAGTTTTTCGATTACTTCTTTCAAAGAGATTTTCATGTAACTGGCTACTATCCGCCCTATGTACTCCAACCAGCTTTTTCCAATAGTAATCAAATTAAATGGAAAACCTCTTCTCATTAATGAATACTGGGTATTCCCTTGCGATTGCGAACTGTTGGAATTTCGCTGTATGCATTTCTAAATAATAACATACGTGTGTTCCATTGCATGCGGTATTTGTGGTTAATCACTGCATTTCCAAGATTATAAAAATGTGTAGTAAATCAATTGGTTTCGAATTCAATAGATTAGTTGATTTGGAGCTGCTTACATTTAAACATGAAATTCTTTGGTTTTATCGTCTTTGTAATTATTTATTGTCGAGGTTTTGCTGCGGTAATGGAGGGGAAAATAACAGATCTCGGTAAAAATATATTTTTGAAAAAAAGCTAAAAGAAAAAAATATAAAACATAAAAATTATAATCATAAAATTTAAATTATAATCATTAAAATTTAATAATAATAATAATAATATAATAATAATAATAATAATAATAATAATAATAATAATAATAATAATAATAATAATAATAATAATAATAATAATAATAATAATAGTAATAAAAATAATAATACTAATAATAATAATAATAGTAATAATAATAACAATAATAGTAATAATAATAATAATGATAATAATAATAATAATAATAATAATAATATAATAATAATAATTAATAATCATAATAATAATAATAATAATATAATAATAATAATAATATATATAATAATATTAATAATAATAATAATAATAATAATAATAATATAATAATAATAATAATAATAATAATAATACTAATAATAATAATAATATATAATAATAATAATACATAATAATAATAATAATAATAATAATAATAATAATAATATAATAATAATCACAATAATAATAATAACAATAATAATAATAATAAATAATAATAATAATATAATAATAATATAATAATAATATATAATAATAATAATAATAATAATAATAATAATAATAATAATAATAATGATAATACTATAATAAGAATAATAATATAATAATAATAATAATAATAATAATAATAATAATAATAATAATAATAATAACAATAATAATAATAATAAACAATAATAATAATACAAATAATAATAATAATAATAATATAATAATAATAATAATAATAATAATTAATATAATAATATAATAATAATAATAATAATAATAATAATAATAATAATAATAATAATAATAATAATAATAATAATAATATAATATAATAATAATAATAATAATAATAATATAATAATAATAATATAATAATCATAATAATAATTAATAATAATAATAATAAAATAATAATAATAATAATATATAATAATACTAATAATAATAATAATAATAATAATAATAATAATAATAATATAATAATACTAATAATAATTAATAATAATAATAATAATAATAATATAATAATAATAATAAAATAATAATAATAATAATAATAATAATAATAATAATAATAAAATAATAATAATAATATAATAATAATAATAATAATAATAATACATAATAATAATAATAATAATAATAATAATAATATAATAATAATATACTAATAATAATAATAAAATATAATAATAATAATAATATAATAATACTAATAATATATAAAATAATAATAAAATAATAATAATAATAATAATAATAAATATATAATAAGAATAAAATATAATAACTAAAATAATAATAATAATAAATAATAATAATAATAATAATAATAATAATAATAATAATAATAATAATAATAATAATGATAATAATAATAATGCTTATAATTATAATAATATTAATATACTACTTATATTAATTATAATTACAAATTGTCTCCATATAATTTAGATCACCCCCGGCAAATGTGTTTATGAAGGATTGATCTTATCACCCGGTGAAGATGGTTATCCTAAAGGACAATGCATGCATGTAATGTGTTCTACAGCGGACGGCAGTGGCACTGTTCACACGTAAGCTAATTTTGAGATTTCAATTGATTTTCGAATGTGTAAACATTGCTTATTTTTAGCTGTGGTTCTCTGGGCACATCGCCACCCTGCTATTTAGGAAATTATACAAATCCAACGGCTAATTATCCTGAATGTTGTTTCCGCGAGGTAATTTGTCCCGAAAATTATATGGAAAGAAATACAAAAATGGAAAACGTTCCCAATAAAGAAAAATAGTACTAATAAGAATAACAATAAGAACAATAGGAAATTGTAACGTGTTTTTTCTTCGGTTGAGGTAATCTCATCTGTATCCAAGTTCTCCATAAGGACCCACCAAATATTTCGAAAATAAGAAGAGTAGATTTCTCTCTATCCTGGGAGTGATTTAAATACTACTACAATAAAGGAAAATACTACTAATAAGAATAACAATAGGAATAATAGGAAATTGTATCGTGGTTTTCTCGTCGGCTGGGGTAATCTCAGATGTATCCAAGGTCTCCATAAGGACCCACCAAACCTTTCGAAAATAAGAAGAGTAGATTTCTTTCTATCCTGGGAGTAATTTAAATACAAAATGACAATTGCATATGGTGATCTAATAGTAATGGTAATCGGGATATCACCGCCGAATCTTCGGTATTCGAATGTTGTCGGCCCAGGGGGTGGTCAGTCTTAGGTTTTGGTTTTGTGCTCTTTGGTGACTGCCGATTTGACAGTAGTCGGGTGAGTATGGCAATCGGGTGGCTATTGGCTCGCTAACTAGTAACGAGACTGCGAACGAGTCATAAATTTGTTATACCCTCCACCATAGTAGGGATGGTATATTCAGTTTGTCATTTCGTTTAGTTTGATAAAATTTCACTCAAATGTGCAGGGTGAGATAAAAAGTCAACGTCAAACTCCAAAATTTTATTTTTTTTCTAAATTTTAT